CCCCATCCCCTCCCAAAAAGAAACCAAACAGAAGAAACAACCCTACCAAAACCTTAGTCCTATAAATATAAATTCCCTTGTTAGGGATGTATGGCAGTATTTCCCTCAGAAATCTCTGTATTTTCTGGTACCTAGCCTCTGGGGGGAGTCTGTCTGAAAGGTATCTTTCCAAAACTTGCGAACTTTTTCAGAGTAAGAAACTCTGTTAAAGTACATAAGACCTGATATTGAGTTCATTAGAAGGTATTTTTGTCTTCTGTCTTTTTTCTTGTTCTGTACCTTCCCCCTTCCTTAATGAGGGAAGATTAATTAAAATTCACAAGACAATCACAACTCAACAAACCTGCCATCAATTTCTGTCACATTTATATTTTTGCAATTATGTGCAACACAAAGTCACATAATAGATTACATTTTGCTAAAATCCAGTGATGTTCTCATAGCCAAAACCAATGAGACACAATAATACACCTGCTTTAAGTAATTAAAAAAGGCTTCTAAATAAAACTCAATTACACACTAGATGCTGTCACAGTACCCTATTGCTGCTTTGGACACACTCCCGTCTTGATCTTCATGTTCCTTTCTAAAGCTAAATTATTCCACCATTCTGTAGGACAGAAGAAAAGATGGGACCAATGAGTAGGCCTTAAAGATGCTGACACAGGATTCATAGAACAGGCCACTTCCAAGCCCCAGGGCTTTGGTGATATGGGAGCCTACCCCTAGAGAGAGAGGTATTCTTCTTTGTTTACACATGTGAAAAAAACAATCTGGCTTACAGAGCTGAAACTCAGAAGTAACAATTCTGAAGACAGATGAATGACAGCTGGATTAAAAGCTCTCAGTCTCATCTGTTCTTCTCACTTATTACCTGTCAGCTAACATGTCACTCCAGTATCTTGTGAGAAAAGACCTGAGGAACCCCTTGCAACTTTAAAAATTCTCACTGAGCAGCACAATATTGTTATCAGAAAATTCGACTTGCTGGAGAACGCATTGAAACACATGTGCTCATCAATGCCACAGAGAACCTGTTTTTTCTTATCAGTTTTTTCCAACAAGATGTACCAAAATCTTGTCATCTAGCACTGGAACCCTTCCCTATATAGTTGTCATTCATATGTCAGATATGTTTTATTAATTTGTACTGCTAGAATAGAGATCCCTGGAATCAAATATCCAGAAAAAGGTAAAACTTCTCTGTGACTGGTAAATGTCTGATGTAAAAAAAATGTTAGAGGATGATCAATTTGGCGAAGACAAAAAGCTGCAGTGGGAAATTACCAAATAGAAGCCACCCAGACAACTCTGAAATTACCATTGTTCTCTGAAAACAGAAAAATAGGTAAGGCACACCAGACGCTGACAAAAGCCAAGAAAACACAAAAGAAAGATGGCAGTTCTTGAGGGCTGCAAAGAACTACAAGCCACTGAGCCTAAAATTCATCACCTGCAAATTGGTAAAATATAGAATAGAAAGCAAATTAAGGAACATATAAGTAGAATATATGAGAATATGAGAAGAATTCTGCTGCAAATCATAGTTATGCCTCAAACACCTCCTGGGGTTTTTTTGAAGGAACCAGCAGATCCACAAGCAAAAAATGTCAGCCTGATACCATCCGACTTCCAAAAGACAATAATGAATGGTGGCCCTTGACAAGACTACTGAAGAAATTCAGGGTCATCCTCATGTGCTGAGCAGCCACTGATGGGAGGTAATTCAAGACTTGGAGAATCTAAGAGGGATCTGTATGAAAGTTTATAACATTTACTGTCATGGTATCAGACAGACTACACCAACAGGAAAGGGGATTTAAAAGATGAGCTAAAAATGTGTCTGCTTATTCATAACAGGAGAACTAGATTATTACATTCACAAAGGATGTGCAAAATTATACATAAATATACATTAATAATTATACATTATAATAATTATATAATATAATATACATAATTAATAATTATACATAAAAATACATTATACAAAAAGCAAACCAACACAAAAAAATACGTCTCTCCCAGTGTTATAAAATATAAACCCCACCAGTACTGGCCTATCAGCTTTCCTTCTCTTCTCCTAACTTTAAGTAATACACAAGCCTGTTCTTGAATGACTGAATTTATCAGATTTTCAATTGCACCTTGGCTTAACTGATGAAATATCTTGGCTTTTAAAGGTTGAATTTATCCTTTGGAAATCTGTAGACACTTTATGGAAAAATACTGACATTAAAAGAAATTATTCTTATTTTAAAATGTAGTTCCTATGGGTCTGTGTATAGTGCAGGCTGGACTGCTTTAAAAAATGTTAGATATAAGCCATTTAAGATATCATTTCACTGAAAGAAATACAAAGAAGGTATATAGGTCTCAGGAGGGGAAAAAGAAAAAGATACATTAATACTGGCAAACTTATTGTCATGACTGTTGCATTTTACTTGAAAAACATATTTTATAGGCTTTTGGAAATAAAAAGTGTTTTAAGCTTTAACTCTCCTGGAAAGGAATTTTTCTCCTCTTTTTGCATATATTGAAATATGAAAACAAAACACAGGGTAAACAAGTACAAAGGGCCCTGTAATCTTTCAATAAAAACTTTCCTATTACTTTATGTAATTAATCATCTGAATTCATCATCATCATTCATCATTCTATGCCTTTCCCCGTATTCTGAGGACTATCCTCAACTAAGCAAGATGCCAAGGGCCTTGAAATCTCCCTCAACACTCTGCATGCCATTCGCCAACAGCCCTGAAGAGGGTATAGTTGCACAGCTCACTGCTCCTTCTCTCCTGAAACTCATTTCACTTCAAAACCAAAAGACTGACTGATTGTTTTCTCATTTGCTTTTTGTTACAGTATTAAAAGTTTAGGACAGAAAAAAGAGCATGAAGAGAGTTCTGGATCTCACCTCCTTAGTCTTCCAAGGAAGTTACTTACTTAAATATATTTCTGTGCAATTCACTACTATGTTAACTACCTACAGATGAAATGACCTAATTATAGTTTCAATCAGGTCAATATCTATCAAAAATTTTAGAACTGCACTACAGACAGAAACTTCTGAGCAAAAAACATGTGCTCTCTAAATGAAAGACATTATTCCACTAATCAACTAGAACAGCTCTGATCATGAGAGCTGTTCCCACTAACCAGACCTACATTTCAAGCAAATGAAGTCTAAATTACCAGCAGTCATGCAGGAATCAACTATGATTAATGAAAGTTAACAGGCAAAGAAAACCCCCTAAGCTGAAACCACATTTTCAAATACAGCCTATCAGACAGCATATTGGTAGAGCTTCTATTATAATTCATGGAACAAACCCTTTTAAGTTAACATGTGCTACTTGGAAACAGATAAAAGTATTTCTTAGCTGTCTCTTTACCAAACAGCATTATAAATTACCTGAATTCATTTTTATGCATTTCAGCTATTTTCTTCTCAAGCTTTTGTGACTGCTTGGGAAAAATCTTGAAGTCGCTGATGTAATTCTCTGGGTGTTCATCAGGATCATAATCACCAAGTTCAGCTGAACAGATCCAAAACACAAACAAAGCAGAAAAATTGAATTGCAACATTAATTAATAGGGAAAGAAGGCAATAAATGCAGCGTAATTCAAGGTACTTTCACGCTCGCTAAGTAAGAATCCAGCATCTCTCAAGAAATTTTTCTTTGAGGAATTTATAATTAACTGAAATAACAAAATCCTTATAACTGTCACTTTAATCAATGAGTTTCAAGAGAAGCTCAATGCCTTATTAACTACTGCATTAATTAGCAGTAGTAAACTATTTTCTCTGGCAGAAAAATGCTCTGTGAAACAGAAACAACGGCACTGTTCCCCTCCGAGTATCTATTATTCTGGTACCAGACAGAACTAAAATAATGTGCTCCTGATTCTTCCCTTTTTCACATGATTTATCCTCACTGGCATGGACTGGTTCTAATTCTGTTCTAGCAGAGAAACACAGGCCACAACGTTGATCAAGGCATCAGGCAGAACTTGATTTCTCTTCTAAAGATGTGTCACTTAGGTACACAAACCTCACATTTGGTGTTCTAATTTTCTGAATGAGCCTCATTTAATAAGGCCTGGACTCAGTTTTGGTTTGGAAACACTGCCTTGTAATGCATTAAGAGCTTTGTTCACCTTAAGGAAGAATAAAGGAAACTTTCACACATATGGTTTCCCTAATCAGACACACTGATGATTATTTCTCTCTGTACAATTCAAGACATATCTATCTGAATTTGGTCCTAAGGAAATGATGGAGAGGAAAAAAAAATAAAAATAGAGAAAAATAAAACAAAATTTCTTTCCCCTTGAATTACATCTATTTTTGCCAGAGATTCCATCATCACACAGGTCTTCTTTAACATAATAAAGGACACCGAATGACACTTTTTCCTGCTTAATTCAAACGGAATAGGCTACTTTCCAATTCAGGATTCAGAATGGAGTTTTTCTTTTTTGGTAAGTGGAATCTAACGTTGATGCCATACTTCTTCACTAAAATGCTAAGATAACTTTTTTGGTTTAATTTCTTTTAAGCTCCACTTCATTGGCTAACAGGCTGAACTGCTTACTTCACAGTGCATGTTAATACAGGGAAACAGTACAACAACAACAAGAAGTTATTGCTAGCTGTAGTTATACAAGTTTTGCATTGCTGCTTTGATAGAATGAACATATGACTGAAGTATTTAAAGAAGCCTGCTGCTCATACTTACCTTGGACAATACAGGCACCCAGGTAGGCAGCATCAGAAAATGAACACAGCAAACGGCCATGGAAAATGTCCCTTTTTATTTGTAGATATAAGAGGTATCTGAAATAAAATTTTAAAGATGAAGAAACAACATGCTATCTTTTTGTAACAGATTTAAAGTATTGGCATCAAACCAGCTGTGCAACTATTTTGGATCTTTCTTTTTATTTTAATTGGCAGGAAAAATGTGACAACCACAAGGAAAAAATAGAGGTAAATAGATCTTCTTTCAATAATGGTGGAATAATAAGAGCAAAAATTTTAAAAAAAGAAAAAACCACTAAGAAATGTTATAGAATGCACTTTATTTAAAATATACAGCTATTATAATGCTAAATAATAATGTGAAATAAATTATGCCAATGTAAGCTTGTTTGAGCACCCCTGTTCTCATTATATACAGGTTTACACAAGGCAATCTTTCTCTTGCTGTACGCAAAATAACACACTGACCAACAGTGGAAATTTTTTTCTCTTCTATTTTGTGGTTTGGTTTTTTTTATCTGTAAAGGATCCTAGATGAAGTTTGAAGGCAGAAATGACTTCATGAGGTCTAAACTGCCACAGGCATAGGGCACCTGCCTGGGGAGGTCACCTCTCCCATTCACGTGTTTCTCTAAAGAAATGGTGAGAAGAAAACAGAAGGTTCCTTCTACCTATCATCTGCCTTCTACCACAGAGGATCTCTAAGCTTTAATAGCAAGTGGAATGGCACAGCTTCAATCACTTTTTCTTCTCCTTTCTCCCCTGCAGAACAGCCTCCCATAGATGGAACAACCCACCTGCACAGCAAGTCACTCACAGCTTCTTTCCCAGCACCAGGCAGGTTTCAGCCACACCATTCAGCCACTTCACCCCTCTGGGAAAATAAACTATTTAAAACATTGCTTCAAATAGACAAAATCTAGCATCTAGAGGGTTCTATCAAGACTCAGTGGCTTCTGAAGACCATCAGAACATTCCTTGACACTGACAGCCCTGTCTAAACTTGAGCAACATACAGCATAGACAATAAAAAGGTGGTTTATGACTAATACCAATGTCAGATATATTTTGTCCAAGTTACCTGCTTCTGTTACCTGCTCATATCATGAGCTTCTGCATCAAGAGCAAGTCTGGAAATACTATCTGAAGGGCAAGAGAAACTTTTCTCCTTTCCTTGGATTTTTACTGAACATAGTAAATGGGATAGTTATCAATGAGAAAAGCAATTTTCTCTCATTGTAAACACATTCCTTCACATTACAAGATCTACAGAATCTTTGCATTTCAGGGCTTTTGTTTTTGTTTTTTTTTATATTTTGCAGCACCTTATTTCCCCTCTGTAATCCATGTCTAGTAACAGCTCCCAAATTTACTTCCATATGTTGGTACTGTTAGTCTGTAGGTAGATCCCAGAGGAACTACCTGTAGTAGTGTGCACCAAAGGCCTCAGTGAGATGAAGTAAAAATTCTTAATCTGTAATGACAGTGTACCAGAAAAGGTTCATTATATGGATGTAAATACCATATATAACTTGGGCAGTTGAGCAGTGCCTATGCAAAAAATTTTGGTAAGATTTACCAGGATGAAAAAAATAGGATACCATTCTCCAGAGTGACCATTAGCTTGAGGCCAAACTGTGTTCAGCTGTAAGCAGTGCCAAAAAAACCCACCCAAGGTTTCAGAAAATGGTTTGTTAGCCAAGCTGTGAGGTCAACATATCGTGTGTCATTTCTAAGCAAATGGTTTGTTGCTGACCACAATCAAAGATCCTCAGTGTAATTTGCCAATAAAACCAAGCTGTGTGTGGGTCTGTCAACTTAGCTGGAGGGAAATGATGCCATCCAGAGGGACCTTAACAGGCTTGAGAGGTACATCTGTGGAAAGCTCATGAAGTTCAACAATGCCAGCTGTAAGGTCTTGCACATGGGTCAGGGCAATCCAAAGCACAAGTACAGGCCAGATGGAGAATGAACTGAGAGCACCCCTGAAGAGAAGGACTTGAGGATGTTGGTGGATGAAAAGCTCAACATGACCCAAGAGTGTGCAAACACAGCCCAGAAAGCCAGCCTTATGTTGGGCTGCATCAGAAGAGGTGTGAGCAGCAAATGCAGGGAGGGGATTCTGCCCCTCTGCTCTGCTCTGGTGAGATCCCATCTGGAGTACTGTATCCAGCTCTGGGGTCTACAATAAAAGAAAAGAGGTGGATTTGTTGGAACAAATCCAGAGTAGAACCACCAAATTGATCAGAGGGCGGGAGCACCTGTCCTAAAAAGATAGACTGACATCTCCAAAGCAAGAAGAGCAGCCTGGAACAGGACTAATACTTTAGAATTCTTTCAAATGAAGAAGATGTATTTTCAATTGAAGGGAATTTCTGCACATTTTTCCAAAGGCTCGCTAAACTTCAGACACTTCCTGTAATACTTATGCCCCAGGTCAGAAAAAAACTTATGAATATACACCTGACTCCTAAATTCAATAAGGTGTTCTGTATGTACTTAAAACTGTATATACTTCCAGAAAAAACTTGCAAAATCATATCTGATTTTGCTTCTTCATGCGTCCTTCCACCATAGCTGTTTTTTCCAAGCCCTGCCATATGTTTATAACCTGATTTACAGCCCCCTAAGTATTCAAGATTAACAAGACGCTAGTAAACTTATGCTTCAGTGCTTGTACTCACAAATGTCTCTCATTGGAATAACCTCATTTCCATCTATTAGCTGTTTGCAATAAAGATGACTCAACTTCAGGTCGGCCAAGCCTTTCCTGCCATGAAGATTAAGGGTCAGCAATATCTATTCTTGTTTTTAAGCAAGCATCATAACCCCAGAGACCATGTTGCTAGCTGCTTAACAGACAATTTATCTATTTTAAGATGTTCAGTGAGGCAAGAAAGCTTTCCCACAGCCAAACTTTGTAATTTGGCCACACAGTGGTTTTTTATTTGGTTCAAGTCACTTTACTCAGTTTATTCCCATAGAAAATGTATCTCCCAGTGTTGTTGCAGTCTTTCCAGCTGACAGATATGGTCATCTCCAGAGATCCAGCAACTCACCAAAAATTGTTATCTTGGCGTGGTATCTGACTTTGACTCACTACTCCTTTCCATGGTACTGTGTGTACGCAAGTACAGAGTGGCAGACAGCAAATGATTGTGTATACAATAATCCTGGATTTGGGTGCCCTTCTACCAAGAAGAATTTTTGAGCTCTTTATGCATATTATTCAGAATACCAACTTTGCATTTTGTATTTTACAGAAAATATCAAGTATACTGCAGGAGCACCTGTTTTCTGCCAAAGCATATGAATCTCCAGTAAACTCTAACTACTACATACAAGTATGTAATATCACAAATAAGAGAACATATTTTCTATAAAAAAATCTTGAAAAGAGAAAAGAAAAAAAAAAAAAAAAGAGAGAAAAAGGCCGAACACGAGCCAGCAATGTGTCCTGATGGCCAAGAAGACGTTGGGGGTTAGATTTCCTTTCTTTTGTTCCTTCTTAACTATAGAATTTTTCCCAGAAGTTAGTAAGAAACACTAACCACTTATGACTTATGGGTACTTAACAAACGAAAGTGGCCAAGCTCAGGAGAGTAAGGCATCTGGCTACACTTCACCCTTTGGGAGTTTCTCTATAAGGGACAGAGATAACATGAGAACTGGGCATGTGAAGTGGCGGGGGCAGCAGCTAGTCTCACTCTCTCACTCGGCTGCTGTTTTGGGGAAAGGATTTCCCTGCTGCCACCAGAGCCCAGCACGGTCCTGCTGTATTCTGCCGTGGGGATCCTGAGCTCGTCCCTCTCTGCCCTCCTGGAAGCCGGGCTGCTGCTGTCCTGCTCCCGCTATTTCTTCGGAGCTGCTCCGAGCTTTCGCTGCACTGTAGCCCCGCACCCCCTGCTTGCCGAGGCATCCCGCGGCTCCAGCCACAGCTCTAGAACTTCTGATACAGCTTGCTATCACCCCGGGATTTTTGCTCATTCCCACCAGCCTGTCTTGCTGCTCCCTAGAGTCCTGCGGGGGCACAAGGACCGGCCGTCCCAGGGGGGTTTGTGAAGTGAAGCCTCTCTCCCGTCCCTTCCCGTCCGGGCCGAGCCGCCATCACCGCGTGTGGGCCCGGCCCGCGCCACAGCGCCCCCTGCCGGCCCG